TCGGGCCTGGTGCACTGGGAAGACCCAGAGGGATCGGGTGGAGAGGGAGGTGGGAGGGGGGACTGGGATGGGGAATACATGTAAATCCATGGCTAATTCATTTCAATGTATGACAAAAACTACTGTAATGATGTAAAGTAATTAGCCTCCAACTAATAAAAATAAATGGAAAAAAAATAAAAATAAAAATAAATAAATAAATAAAAAGCCCTGCAGAGTTGAGTCTGATAAACTTGGCCGGTATCCTTATACCCTTTGAGAGACACTGAAGAATACAGGTTTAACAACAGGAGCCCAGGCAGTCAGAACCATGATATGCAGATAAATAGTTTGATTAATTGAACTTCAGGTAAATCCTCCCACAGATACTCCATCCTCCTTCAGTACTCTTCCCCCTCTATGGACCCCTCTATTAGCAGCTAGTGACTTGAGGAAAAACAATTGCTATCTTCATTCCAATTATAAACGAAAACTGAAAACCTAATCAAATTAAGGTGGAGTCATTACAGAGTAGCATTAGCATCTGCATCCATGAAGAGGGAGGCCCCCCTGGTGGCTCAGGCAGTAAAGAATCTGCCTGCAATGTGGGAGACCCAGGTTTGACCCCTGGGTCTGGAAGATTCCCTGGAGGAGGGCATGGCTACCCACTCCAGTATTCTTGCCTGGAGAATCCCATGGACATAGCAGTCTGGCGGGCTACAGTCCATGGGAATCGCAGAGTCGAACACAACTCAGTGACTAACACAGACAAACAGTTGAACAGAAAATATACAGAAGAGTCATTAGCCTCCTAAACCCTTGAAACATTTTCCTTTAAAATTAAAACATTCTTCACTTTTGTTTAATTATCACTGCTGTAATAGAATTGTCAGGAATTATTTTCACTATAATGTTTTAGTTAATTTATATATTAAATATTTTCTGTGGATTGGCCTAAAGACCATCTAGACTTTTTTTTCTCCATGGGGAAATATGGTCAGAGTGCAAAATATCCACTAAACAAACAAGTTGGGAACGCTCTTCCCAGCACAGGCACCTGCATTCACTGTACTGACCGTCTCCTCCTGTGCAGAAGCAGCAGCCATCAGCCCAGCGCTATGCGGAGCAGACACGGGGAGGTGGACTGAGGAAGCGGAAGTGGCGCCGGCGGAGGCGACGGAAGCCGCCGAGGGAAACGCGGCCGCGCAGGTGGCTCCGAGGGCCGCTGCTGGCGGGGATGGCGGCACGGCGCCCGCCGAGGGCGCCGCAGGGGTGGCAGCGTCCACGTGAGCAGAAGGAGGCTCTTTTCCCTGAACACCAGGACCGTACTCTTCCCTTTTACTGGTCGTGAAATCTGTTCCCAGAAAGCAGACATTAATTCCATTAACATGTTCCCAAGTTAAGATTGCTTATATCTTCCCAACAAGGAAAATCCATCATTGCTAAAATTTGGTCCCACAGAAATGTGTCATCACTGGATATGTTAATAGGGTTCAGTGAATACAGTATGTCAGTGTTGACTGGTTAATGTCAGCATTAACCATTAAAGACTTCAGACCACTTCAACAAATGAGAGTTAATGACTGATTTGCTTTTACGTGGAAAAAAAAAATTAGGTACTCACCTGGGACCTTATAACCACTACAATAATACGGTCACAGTGTACCTAAGGATTTATGTTCTTTCCATTATTTCATACAACTATCCCGATAAATGGCCTGGTATTTAGACCTTTAGAATAATTTTCTGATAATCACCATACCCTCTTCATTTACCACCCATCACTCCTATTCTAACAAGACCAATGACTTTTTTTAAATAAACTATGAGACACTTTAGGGTCACAACAAAACTGAATGAAAAGTACAGAGTTCCCATATACTCCCTGTTCCCACACACCCACAACCTCTCCTACAATGGATATTAGGCACCATAGCGATACATTTGTTACAATCGATTAGCCAACACTGACACATCACTGTCACTCACAACTTGTGGTTTAAAAACCAATGTAATTCTGGAAAAAAAAAAACAATGCATTTTTAATTCTTGATTTTTTCAGCAAACAGTAATAAATCAGTCTGTAACACTAAAATCTTTACTTTTGATACTGTAGAAGAAATGAATTCTTGCAGGTAGATCGTATGTCATGAATTAAGAGCATATTTGTACACAGCTGATTTTAGTGACACATATATAGCAACCTTTTCTCAAAACTGAAACTTAATCTTAGATCAAAGAAATATAAAATGTCAGCTTCCACAAGCTAGGATGAAGGGTCCTATTCTAGATTTTTTCCTCTCAGTATGTGGATTTGGTTAAAATTTCCATTTGGGACTATATGCGTGCGTGCTCAGTCACATCTGACTCTCTGTGACCCCATGAACTCAGTGCATGGATTCTCCAGGCAAGGATACTGGAGTGGGTAGCCATTCTCTTCTCCAGGGCATCTTCCTGACTCAGGAAATGAACCCAGATCTCCTGCATCACAGGCGGATTCTTTACCATCTAAGACACCAGGGAAGCCCACATATACCTGGTATCAAACATCAGGGTGAGGATTTCAATATTCAGTCACTGAGATGTCTCAGAATATTTGAATAGAGGGCATTATGTAACCCTATGTTTAAACGGTTTTCTATGTTATCCTCTTTCCATCTAGAAATTTGGGCTACTATGTAAGTTCCTGTCTTAATAATATCTTTATATAAAATTGAGCAATAGTTACTTCATTAACAAAGTTTAATGAGGATTATAACACCTAGGGTCCTTTGAAATAATTTGAAGAGACTAATTCAATATAAAAATACTGCTTTTGCTTTGAAAACACACATACACACTGAGTTTTAACATGTTTTTCATAGAAAGTGATTCTGATTGTCTACTTTTAGGTGGATGACAGACTTATCAGGTGTGGAACCAGTACTGTAATTATTCGAACTTTAACTGGACACATTTTTCAGCTGGGAAGTATTTTTCTACTGTTCCTGAAACTACTTTAAAAATTGGCAGGTATCCTTTTAAAGGCCATTTGTATTGTCACATTTTGTCTACCTCACAGAAACTTCTAACAGTTATCTTCAGGGGACCAGGAATAATTTTATTTTCTCTCGAGAATTTAAAAAATTCTCTTTTAATAGCTGTTATTAAAATGCCACAAGACTTAAGTATCACAGAGCAAGCCCAGCATTAGATTACAATGAACTCTGCCTTTGGTAGCTTCATCAATACCAGAGTGTATTGCTGATGTATCTTACTATTCCTGCCATCTTTTTCCTCCATTGTTATAATAAACAAAGCACAAGGCCACTCAAAACCTCTCAGATTCCAGAACCTGGCATTAGCTACAGATGACAATAGACTTAAAGGCAACAGGAGCAATATAAGTCACATTGTATAATAATCAGAATACATTTGCTCCAAATCCTGCTATGATATTTGCCCGTAGGAGACATTGCTGTATTTGGATTTAAAAATTTAAGATGGTAAATATATTAAGGTGGTAAAACATTGTATCCTAGGTCAATTCACAACCTTAGGTAGGTTATGTTAAATAGACTTCTTGTAATCCAAAGTAGCAAGTTCTAATGATTATAAGTTCTCACTGCACTTGTGAAACCCAGTACTTGTTGTTATAAGTAGATAATTAAATTCTTCAATTTAATATATTCAACTTGCTAACAATTAACAACTGAAAGCAGACTTCAATCAATGGAGATGGTACATTTGTTTTCAGCATTACTACTCAATTAAAAGACCACTTGTTGGAGAAATCAAGTACTCATTTGGATATCAGCAAGATAAGATTCGTCTCAAGGGTCTATCTATGTGTCTAAGTCTCTAACTTGCCTGGGGGCCACACGCCATGACTGCTTTAGAAAGAAAACAACTTGCCTGAACTCACCACCATCCACAGCACACATTTGAAATAAAAAATATTTGTTGATATTTTGAAAATGAGGGCATAACAAGCACAGACAAGTTGTTCACAGGACTGAAATCATATTAATGTTGTTACAAAATAAAATTGTGTCACTGATGAATAATCTGATTTTCAAACAGGATTTAAAAATACTGCAAAAATGTTCACATATTTATATACATTAAGTTTATGAGGCTGACTTAAGACTGCAACAATTATATCATTACTATCCTCTTACATGTTAGTGTTTTTTATCTTTTAAAGTGCTTGCAATTGTACTTCATTGCATTTTCACAAGAACCTGCTATAAAGCAGGTAATGAAGATTTATATTATCTTCTTTGTTCACAGAAGAAATTTTAGTTTTCTAAAACCCAATGAGTAAAATAGGCCTCATTGTAAATTGGTGGCAAAGCTGTTTGTTCTATGTCATGCGGATGATAAGAACCATTCCAATCTAAGCCAATACATGGACTTTTCTTGACACAGAGTTATTTTAGTTGACTTCTATAGATAAGCCTATACTTATATTTGTTGAAATGAGTTTTAGTTGAGGCCTCTCTCACACTGGAAGACAAGCAATTTTTTTAAAAAATGGGAAACCAAAAAAAAAAAAAAAGGGAAACCATGAATAGACAAGAAATATTTAACCAACAAAACAGTCCAAGGCATTTGGCTACTTAGAAAAAAAGACAGAAATTTTATACTTAAAGGCATTACCATTATAGTTAAAAGAGCTTTAAAATAATGTTCTATATTCAAAGCATTATTATAACACTGAGCCTAAATAGTTAACAGTTTACTGGATCAGATATAAGATACTGTAAGTAACCATGACTGAGAGAATTTTCATGGCAGATTTAAAACTGGGTATAACATTATGATATTAAAAACAGTGTTTGGATAAGATACTGGATAAGAAAATTAGTACTGCAGACCACACCAATCACTGAAATCTCAAATCCTTTTTGAAAGTAATCAGAGAATCTTAAATAAAACACTAACCTGTATCACCTCTGTTCTGAAATATAGTCATGGCCTCAAGATTTAACGCACACACACCCCTCATGAAAGCTTTCTTCATGGAATCTTCAAAGTGCTCTTTTTCATGCTGCATCCTTTGGATCTCGGCTTTTGCATTTTCCAAAGCTCCAGATAACTAAAATCAGGAGAATTTTTAAAAAGAAGAAAAAAAACTGAGCTACAAGGAAGAATATAATTTATTGTTTTAAAAAAGAGACTTCTTATACTGTGAAGTTATTTTCATATGAAATACTAAAATTACTTTAGCATATACCTCTTCAGCTGACTCTTAAATTATTTTAGAAGATGCATTTTACCTCCAGTGTCTCCATCAACACAACATTTTCATTCCTAACTATAAGGTCAAGGTTTAAACAAAGGGAATTTCATACTGGCTTCAATCAGGACTGGTGTACTCTAATTATACAAAAGGCTATTATTTCTTACCATATACTTTTATGTAGGATAGTAAAATATACTGCCAGCAACAGTAACTGATTTCTTTTCTTTTTTTTTAGATAAGTGTTATCCATAGAATTTAAAGTGCAAAGAGGCATTAGGTACAACACTTTGCCATAGACCAAATCTAAAGGGACTATGTTTTTTTGCATGTCACTGTCAATCACAGAAAGTTATTTGCATAATAAAACTTTAAGAACTTAGTATAATAATGATGAAAAAAATTTTCCTTTTAATATTTGATTTCAAGAGGCCTACTGCATTCTTCAAATTTATTTTCCTTTTGGGTCTCAAATGTTTTCACATGGAAACAATGTTATATTATTGTTATAAGTCTAAATAAGTTCAATTTATATGCAACTGCTTTATATCAAACTTATAAAAACATAGTTTATTTAAAATAACATAAGGATCAACTTTCTTTTAAAAATTAACTTACTTAATTGGAGGCTAATTACTTTACAGCTGGAGAAGTAAATGGTAACCCACTCCAGTATTCTTGCCTGGAGAATCCCATGGATGCAGGAGCTTAGCAGGCTATAGTCCATGGGGTCCCAAAGAGTCGGACACAACTAAGCGACCTCACTTTCTACTTTACAATATTGTGGTGGTTCCTGCCATACATGGATGTGAATCAGCCACGGGTGTAAACATTTTTGTTTCTATTTATAGCTCAATAAAGGCCAGCAGAAGCCCAAGGAAGTATGCTTTCTTAGAGACGTAACGATCTGTGGGTGATTTACACTTCCAAGAGAAACGTACATACAAGAGATGTACACAGGTCTGGAGGTCAAAGTTATAACCGGTTAAAAGAATAAATGAGTCTGCAAGTCTGACTTAGTGCTGCTCCTTCCCAACAGTCTGCCTGAGCCCACACCACAGTGAACGAAACTGGAGAAACAGGTTCCTTCGCCAGTGAGTGATAGCTCCCCAAGTTTTTAATTTTTATTTAAAAAGGAGAAAATAAAGCAAAAAACGTTTACCAGAGCAACTCTGGCTTCATAGTCATTGGAAATCTGGACACAGACTTCCTCAGCTCTGGCTTGACAAGCTCGTTCCACCACCTCCTTCCACTGCTTCTGTACTACGGCCCGCCAGCCTCTCCAGGCTTTCTTCAGTAAAGTTCGCCGAAAATACTGGTCAGCTAGTTTACTTTCATAAACCTGAATGAAAGTAATACACAAACTCAAAACACAGTGGACTGGTAAATATACTGGCAGTAGTAATACAAAACCTCGCCCTGTGGGGTGAGCGGGGTACATGCGTTAGCATTTCATACCGTGTACTCATGTTCTTCTCATGTGCGGATGGGAGGACAGGCTTAGAAGGTTAAGTGACATGCCCAGGTCACCCAGGCAGAAAGTGAAAAGCCAGCCTTGCCTCATTCCAGAGCCTAAGCTCTTACCCATTACATCACGGCTTTACGCAACTCATCAAGACAGGGGAGAAACAAAACACCGGATGGAAGAAAATGAGTGACTTGCCCATGCTATCTTGGTTGTGAATCTGATGACCTGGCTGAGAACAGGACTAGGTGCTGGATGGCAGCAAGGGTGGTGGTGTGGCTCGAGATGGCCCTTTCTCTCCAGCTCGTCGGCCACCACCATAAGCAGGTGAGTTTACACACTCTGCCATCATAATTTATAGCAAAGTGATCCCAGTAGGAACACATGCTATTCTTCTATCAAAGAATTTAAAGTCTCCTGAAGAAGCATTTCCAATTTTCTTAAAAAAATTTTCTATTCAAAAAGTGATGGCAACTTAAACTCTTGCAACTAACATTTGAACATAATATATTATCATTACATCACCCAATAAATAACCTTCAAAATATGACTCAATTTTAAATAGCCCTTTTAAATATGGTTAATGTAGATTTAATCTACTGGGATTAATAAAGGAAAGCACTAAGAAGTACTCTTAAAGGAGAAATCATACTCCATGACAATAACAGCCTTTTCCTTAAATATTACTCTCCTGGAACTAAGTGCATAAAGATTACTCCATTACTCACATGATTATCATAAATAAAATGCATATATACATATGGATCTCCATCCCCTACCTTCTTGAGTCTTTGGCTTCTTGTGGGATACATATATACTTTCATACTTTTCTACTTCTGATACAACAATCTATTTTCAATTTATATTTACACTGATATATTGAGTCAGCTCACTTAATTAAAAGATATTCAAGTTTAAATTATATATAAACTAAGAACAATTTTTACAGAGCCTTATGGACATGGATTTTTAAAATTCTTGGCAAATTACACAACAAACATTTATGCAACTTTATAATGTATAAATATAGTACTGCCTCTTTAAAGATGATATATTCAGGCATTTTAGAAGTAGAAACAATAGAGGGAGCATACTATATGCTAAAGATGATAAATTCATGTAATTAAATCTGTATCAAATTTGTTAAAGGGGTTCCATCACCAGGACATCTGTAATTTAGGTACACTCTGTATTTAACCTATCATGACATAGAAAATGTATATCAACAAGTCTACAAAATATAAGTATTTTTTTCCCAAACGGTACCAACCTCAAGTTTAAATTAAGAGTAACATTAATTCATTTTGACTTATTAAAAAACAAGTCTTTCTCTGACTTGAACAAGAGTTCTAATACGTGATTCTAAATGCTTCTGAGTTTAGAAGTCATTAGTAAGTATCAATCAGCTTTTGTTTTTCACACTTACATCCTGCCTTGATTTGACGTGGTTGATTCGCCAGTGGAAGAATGTTCTCATCAACTCTATCCTTTCCTTTTGCTTGCCTATGGCATGAGACAAGCTAGAAATCACCTGTAAACAGCAATGAGTAAAATGGTTTTTTTCATATATCAAAAAATGCTAGAAAGAATACTTATGGATCAAAACTGTATTCATCCAGGTAACCTCATTATCTTTAAAAAGACCAAAAAACTTCCCCATGTGAATACACTACTTATCAATGAATGAAAGGGAACAAAACAGGAAAGAAATCTTCATTATGTGTATCCTGGTAATAATCAATAAAATGTGTGTATGAAAATTAATATGATCACTGGCATTTAATTCAAGAAAAACCATCATACATTTGAGAGTTTTGCTACATATACAAAATGTTTTTATTCACTAGACTTGAGGGCAGAGACCAGTTTTAAAATATCTTTCTAGTCCTTAAGTACCTTTAACAGCTTGGATTAGAAGTTCCTCAATAAATGTTTAATGATTTTCTGGATTGAACAAACTCATAAAAGTAAATAATTAATAGTTACATTTTAATGTACTTTTTCAGTGATATTATTCCTATTCTTAAAAAAAAAAAATCTATGAATGCTTTTAAATCCTGAGATAATATTCTCTCTTATAAAGAACTGAATAATTGAAATATATATCTAAAATGGGCCCATTAAAAGAGATTTAGTAAATTAGGCATATTTGCTGAGAGATATTTATTCTGGTTCTTTAAATAATTTCCAAAAGTGGAAAAGGGCAGGAATTCTAAGATACTAGTAATATTCTATTAAGCTGTGTAGTGGCACATAGCTGTTCACTTTGTTTTCAAAAACTAGATATGCATGTATACTCTTTTTGTGTGATACACTTTGAAACAAAAAAATCTAATAAAATATTTTAAAACTGTAGGACAGAGTTTTGAGGGTAATATAGAAAATGACTGAAATTAGTATCATTGTTTCAAAAAAGCAAGTTATGCAAAATGACTGATTTTACACTGCATCCTATGACACTCTCAAAAACTGTATTTAAAAAATAACCATAATCTTATCCAGTTCACTAAAATAGTGAGGGCTGCACCTGCAGACAAGTAGCTGAGGTGTCTGCTATTTTCTGAAAGCCACCATCCTCCTGGGAGAGCTATAGGTTTGCTGCCCATCTGCTTTGTTCAAGGTGCTGTTGGGAAGCCCCAGATTAGCACAGACTTGAACCCTACTCTCAAGTTCTTAAAAGGCTAACAGAAAGCAAAGCAAACAGTGCTCTCGTGCTTATCAAGATAATGAAGAAAGGACTTCATGAATGGATAAAGACATATCACAGATAGAATGTGGGATATCTATACCCCTCCAAAAGGGTGGTTTAAAATGTGGGTAATGCTGGATCCCTGACATTCTCTTTAGGGCAGTTAGGAAGAAAAGATGGGAAAGAAAAAAAAGAGTGTTCCCACACTCAGTATAGCACTCTTACAGCACACTGAACGTGGTGACCAAGAGAAAATGACATGGTCCTAGCACAGTTAATGTGAAGAATAAAGCTTATTTCTATGCATCTACTTTCCTACTAGTTTCGGAAGTGAGCTTCCCTTTGTATCTGGTACGATCTAAACACTCAGTTCCTGGCATTTATTACCTAACAAGACATTTACTGACTCTCACTTAAAAAGCAGTATGAAAAAGAAGACCTCATCTTTTCTCCCAATGGAGACTTCATAGGTTTTCTGCAGCTCCTTCAAGCTGTTGATCTGGCTGCACAGTTGTTTTAAATCTGCTGCATGTTTCTCTCTCTCTTTTTTCATTTCCATTCGGTGCCAGTCAATAAAATTCAGTCTCCATTTACTTAGTTCAGATATGATGTTTGTCTGAAAAATAAATATGCTGACAATTAAGTAGTTTGCTCCTTAATGCTGCTTCATAAAATGACACCAAAATTAAGACAAAAATTTAAAAACTCAAAACAAGTATTCAACATAAGAGCTATTAAAACAAACATCCACCAATGAAAACGTTTCTATGTTCAGCAAGCCACAGCTCTTCTGAGTTCACACACCATACTAAGTACATACTTTTTTCTCCCATTTTAAGTTACATTTATGAAATCTTGAATGGCATCACTGGCTCAATGGACATGACTTTGGGTAAACTCCGGGAGTTGGTGATGGACAGGGAGGCCTGGCGTGCTGTGGTCCATGTGGTTGCAAAGAGTCGGACACGACTGAGCAACTGAACTGAACTGAACTGTGGAAAAACCACAGCCTTGACTATACTGTACATGCTAGAAAAGTGTCATTAAAATTTTTTAGGTCTCATTCATTACTAAATAGGACAGATAAAGTCAAGGACTTAAATATCTGTATTAAGGTGGATAAGAGAAAAAGGAAATGCAGGACCATGCCTGAGGTCAAGCCACTGGACTGGGATGGTATTTAGACAGAGATGAACAGTAGAAACCATCAGAGTTGATGCTTTCTTCCTCCAAATCATTGATCACAATGGGCACCTTACAATGAATTGCTAAGACTGATTTTTACCCTACTGATGGGCATAAGCAAAAAGACCAAATAATCACGTTATCAAAAAAACAGCAGGGCTAACAGTAGGGTTAACTGAACATATGACAGTCTTTAAATGGTTGGGGGTGTACTACTCAGTGGACTTACACCACGGTTAGAAGCATGAAACCTGTTCCATGGAGAAAAATTATGCTAAAAGATTACTTCTAGAATTTAAGGTTTCAAATACTGGAGAAAATATAGATGTCACAAAACTCTGATGACCATAATTCCTCCGTGTATGTGAATACTCAGTTTAGTTTTCTCAAACTATGTTTCAGAAAAACTGTCGTCTTCTCCACTATATTTTAAGCTGCAGAAAAACGGCCATTCCTGGAATACTTTGTTTTACTTAGGGATCACTAACATCACCAAAAAAAAAAAAAAAATTCTTATCAATTTATCAGTTATACCCTGTGGTTGCTATAAGTAGCTATAAAATGAATACATGTTGCTAAGATTGGATCTTATGCTTCATATAAAACAATTCCGCTAGTCACAGGCATGATGTGGGAAAGGTTCAGCAAGTGTCTCTCGCGGTCACACACGGGCTGAGCCATTCAAAATAGTGGAGAAGTTCAGTGGAGTATGCAGACCTGTTCCAGCAACTATCCAAAACTGTGCTATTCCAAGTAGGGCTTCTGAACCGTCACCTGGGAGCTTGTTAGCAGTGCTCCATCTTGGACCAGGACTGACTAAGAAGTTGCAGTTTATCAGAACCCCCAGGTGATTCATACGGGCGGTAACGACTGAGAAGCCCAGATTTACAACACTGGACTGATCTTTGGCAACTACAGTTTGTTTTGTTTTTAACTTTTTAATTCAAAGAAATGAAGAATAAACAGTGGACTCGAGGAAAACTGCTACATTACATATTAAACAACTGTTAATACCTTAAGACCTGAACTCCAGAGATCAAGCACATTTTCCATCTTTTGAAGGTTTTCATCAGAAACAACAAAATCAGTCACAATTATTTCATGGGCATCGATAGGACTGGAATTAGACCCTGGTGAGGAAGAGTCAACTAAAAGATTTGAACTGAAAAAATCCATGACTGGGTGAGGCGGCTTCCTTGGGGATGCTGGTGATGACCCTAGAAAAAAAGAAAAGTTGGAGTAATCTAATCTGTGCTCTAATCCAGCAGTTTTAAGAAAAACTGTCACACATTATAATGCATTAAATCTGTCTTAAGGGTACTGAGCATCTTATACAATTATTTTCAAAAGTACTGCTTAACAAATTACCCATAGTAGCATTTAAAAATCCTTGCAGTAAGTAATATGCTGAAATTATTCCCCTTACTACCTGGATAATATTCACCAAAGCACAAAATGTTGTACATTAACAAAAACAAGCTAAGGAAAAGTCATACCATCTGTCTTTGTATGAACTGAAGTATTTAAATCACATCCTTTTCCAACTTCCATCCTTGTTTTTCTCACTGCAGGGCTATTTCCTGATGAAAAGAAACAGGTTTTTCTTTTAATTAAACCTAATCAGTCTTATATAAAATACCTAATCACACATACCTAATTGAAGAAGGTAGCTGTGCATAAGTAAGATTTTAGAACAAGGAAAATACAGTAGGCTAGGGACAGGAACACTAAGACAAAGAATAAGAAGGAAGGAAAAACTGTGAGACTTGAAAATGTCTTACTGCATCATTAATAAGTTTAATTCACCCAACAAATATGGATGAAAAAGACTTCAGTTTACTAGTGGCATTCAGTTCATACTGATATAGTATAAATGTCATGTCCTACAACACTGGACATTTCTAGGGCCTGCTGCTTTTCACTAGCTCTACTAAAACTTAAGTGACACTGGTTCCCTCCAAATGGGGACTTCTTTACTTCTACCTCAGAAACCTTTAGTCAATACATGGCAAAAAGGAAACTGGAAAAGAACCTCACAAGGATGGCTTTGTGAGAGGCTTAACTTACATCCATCATGACTACTGGAAAAACCACAGCCTTGACTATACTGTACATGCTAGAAAAGAAAAAGACCAGCATCCTTAGGTCCTAAAGACTGCCTGCATGTGTGCATGTGGACTCAAGTCATGTCCGACTCTTTGCAACCCCATGCACTGCAGCCGGCCAGGCTCCTCTGTCCATGGGATTTTTCAAGCAAGAATATGGGAGTGGGTTGTCATTCCCTCCTCTAGGGGATTTCCCGACCCAGGGATTGCACTCATGTCTCCTGCATGGGCAGGCGAATTCTTTTACCACCGAGCCGCCTGGAAAGCCCCAAGTGATTGCTGTAGGAGAGTGTCTGGGTTTGGGTTTGCTCAGTAGAAAGTGCATGTAATTAAAACATGACAAGATCACTCACAGTGAATGAATAAATCCAAAGGTCTTATCTTTTGAAGATCAACAAAATTTGGGCAGAAACTGCTTAGTGCTAGTACGTTTCAGTGTTAGAAGAAATACACATGTTTTGAGGTTCTGGATCTGTTTGTTGATCCAGTGCTGTAGGCTAGAAGCAATGAAACTCCACGTCTACGGAGGGAGAGAATGACAGACCCAGGGCTGTGGCCCCCGAGGTGCCTAAGAGCCTGAGGCTGGGCTGGCTGCGCTGCGTGCTCGGAGGAGGGTCTTTGGGGTTTACTTGCTGCTAATAACTGCATGTTATCAGGGCCTATCCAGGAGGGTGGTCTGTGCCCCTGGAAAGAACACTCATTTTGAGTGAGCTGTTTGGGATCTTGTACTGAATAAGGAAAAACAGATAGTAAAAGGAGCTTCATCCTCCTTTCTCCACCTTTCACTCACTCATCTATCAATACACATCCTGGTTTGTATTAGTTCTCAGTTCTGTCAGCAACACAGTTCCCAGGTGGGTCCGTCTCCATGGTGACAATCCAGACATCCCTCCAGGCCCAGATAAATACTGCTGATAAAGTCCGAGCACATGATTATGAACTTAAGGGGTTCTGAGGGCTATCTATAGACTATCTCTAATTTGGGGACTTGGGCATTTCATTTCCAATGTTTCTTGGCATAAAACCATTGTATTGAAAGAGATGCAACACATATCACTAAGAGACATATAATTGCCACAGCGTTTGCTTTAATTTTATGATTTTTCATAAAATAGTCAAATGAAGTTCAAATAAAAATTCAACTGTCATATAAGAGCCAAGAAAAACATATTAAAATGTAAACTCTCCCCGAGATGACAGATATACAATGCTGATGAGAAGAAGCACTAGAGAAGTGTTTTCACTACCATAAGTCAACAGAATTAAAAAGCTCAGTAACATATTAAATTAAGGGACATCTCGAAAAATATACATAACCTGGATTTTGAAGAATATCATCAATTATAGTAGGAATTTTAACATCTGGCACTGCTTCTCCCTTTGAATGAGACAGCTGTGAAGCACCTGCTTCAGTATTTGGAGTCACTACAGCGTAACGAAGCAGTTCTTCATACTCTTCCTGTGAAAAGCCAACAAAAAATAACGCAGTATATCCCTGTCACAATGGACATTCTGGTAAAGGAATGGTCACAAAGATGTTCTCTACTTCAGTTTCCAAAACAGTATGCCCAAACAATAGAAAGAAATGGGTACTTGGGATTTATGTTTTTCATTCGTCATTTACTTACTCTCTCGTAGAAAATGAAATTTCTTAAAAACAAGCAAGAAAATGCAACAAATAGACCTACCCCAATTTCTTCTGGTGATAAAGCTTTAGTACCCATATTCCTTCAGCATGTCCATTTAAAACAGTGACACAGAGATTACCTGGGGCACTTTCCTGGAGCCTATCAGCATCTATAACAGAAGAACCTTCTCTCAACTGGCAACTGCTTGCAGGTGAGAAAAAGACCCAGTCACGTCGCCGCCTGTTTGGAACTTAGTTCCACGATGCTGCTCCCAAAGACTCAACAGTGGGAAGGTCTAGGGATGAAAAGTAGCTTTCACTCTTGTTGCCCCCTGCCCCACCCAGTTCTATAACCACTCTGAGTCTCTTCATATACAAACATGGAAAGAGTGTAAGAGAAATGCTGGAAGAGAAAGAATAATAAAGTGAAAAAGAGAACACGGATGCCAACCTGTTCAGTTCTACCTGCTGGCAACATGAGAAAAGAGGATGAAAACATGGCAGGTCACCAAGTGTAGGCCTTACAGGAATATGCCTCAAGGTTAAAAAAAAAAAAAGGAATTTCCTGACACAGATAGATATTTATTTAGCCAAATCAAAAAAATTCTATCAGTACTGGAACTTAGTCTCTGTTCAAAAGGGGCTGGTCACTGAGGCAACATATATTCCTATTAAGGACTTCTAAGATTTATTTTGGCTGTGTTGGGTCTTAGTTGTGGCACGCAGGATTTTTAGTTGCAGCATGCAGCTAGCTAAAGCCCCTCTAAGAGTCTTATGGCATGGACCTAGAGAACGTCTTTGCATTAAAATTTGGGGGAAGGTTTAAAGGCATATGAAGTGTCTTGCTCTAAACTATTATTTAATATTAATTTTTCTCCATAAAAAGTTCAGACACAGAAAATTCCATTATCATCATTTCATTAGTCATAAGTGTCTTATTATTTGACTCACCATCAGGATGAAGAGCTAAGTGATGCCTCAAATTACCTCCTTGAAATGTGCTAAATTGAATTAACAGCAATTGTCTAAATCAAAGAAAGAGCCCTACCTTTAATAAGAACATTATGATACAGTATAGGTGTTTGAAAATTAGCAACCGTATTATTTCCCTATGGGTTTCTGTGAGTAAGAATATTTAACTAAACACACCCAAGTATTTTGCTATCAATTAACTTTTTAGAACCTACTTCCTCTGGAGGCAGTAACAACTAGAGGTAGCCACATCAGCTCTGCTCTGGAATAAATTGTGCTCCAGGAATGGAAGGGAAGGGACAGTCAATGACTAACTCGTGGCTTCCCTAGTTTGACCTCAGAAAAGGGAGAAAGATCCAAACACATATTTCTAAGTTCTCACAACAATCAGTATGAGTTAAAGGGGATGTAAATACGTATACATTAATAGTGTTCAGTATACATATATATTTTAACTTACTTTAGAGAAAAAAAATGGAAAAATTAGTCATTTAAACAATTATTTACATTTCATATATGCAGACACAGGCCAAATGGGTTATTTTTTAGTTTAGGGTAAAAATAATATCATCTTTCTTTTTCGTACCTTTTTAAAAAATTGGAGTATAATTTTTTTTTTTATTTTTAAGAATTTACTTATTTTTATTGAAGGTTAATTGCTTTACAGTATTGTGTTGGTTTCGGCCAAACATCAACAGGAATTAGACACAGGTATACCCATGTCCCCTCCCCCTTAAACCTCCTTCCCGCCTCCCTCCCCATCCCACCTCTCAAGGTCGTTACAGAGCTCCAATTTGAGCTCCTGAGCCATACAGCAAACTCCCATTTGCCTGTCTATTTCACATGTGGTGACGTATATTTCCACGTCACTCCTTCATACAACCCACCCTCTCCTTCCTTCCCTCCCCCAGCCCCATGTCCGTAACTCTGCTCTCTCTGACTGTGTCTAAAATCGGAGTACAATTGCTTTCCAATGCTGTACAGAAACAGCATCGGCATAGGAACACATACATCCCCTCACTCGGAAGCCTCCCTCCCACCCCACCCCTCTATTCCACCCCATTAGGTCATCACAGAGCAGGGAGCTGAGCTCAGTAATATCTTCTTAACTGTCAGAGATAACCTGCCTTAAGGTAAAAAAGAATCCTAAAGTAACGACCAAAACTTGTCATTCTGCCTCCCCCTTCAGTTGCTGGACTGATGTGACCCTGAAACACAGCTGAACCCATGCACGCCAAGTGTGGTCAGGGCAACGGGCTGATACTTTGGAGTTGTGATTAGAGGAGATTGTAAGAGAGTGAGTGCTACGGATGCTGCCCAGCCTTCAGCATCCATCATCAATGGTTCTAGGAAGAATTCACACGTGGGGAACAGTAATGAAACGCCCTCAAGGGGAATACTGACTTACGAGGGGCTTCTGTACCAAGTGTCTGGTGTTAAATATTTACCATATATGTCAAAGTATATAGTCACTTTATGTTATCTTACACATTATTTTCAGGATTTATATTTTTTAATGTTTCCAGTAATGGAATATGGGCAGGCTTTCAACTGTTGTCAAGGACCAGTAGGGTCATAAGTTGAGAAAACAGAATCTCAGTTAGGGTGGCATTCTGAGCACAGGTAACCAATAACACAGAATGATTTCTGGCATGTCTAGAAGATTCTTTCCCCTCCATCTTTTAAAATTCTACTCTACAGATTTCCTTTGACATAAAGCTTTGTTTCTTGACAAAAATGACATGAGATCTTACAAGGTGTTCATCTTATAAGGTCTTATAAGGGTTCTGGACCCAACAATTACAAAGCGTGATTTGTAAGCAATTCTGACACCACTTGGGTGTCTCAGTTCCGACCCTTTCTAGCAGAGCTGGCGTCAGATTGCGCAGGTGGAGGGTTAGTCCGCATGACTGCCCTCCCCGCCCTACACTTCAGACGCCAGTCACAAGTCCAGGTTATCACCTGTGCCTCAGACCAACCAGCTACGGACCAGAGGTTCCAAAGACCCCCTCCATGGGTTTGACTAATTTGCTAGAGGGCTCACAGTGCTCAGAGAAACATAACACTTACTAGATCACCAGTTTATTATAAAAGGCTGGACTCCAGGAACAGCCAGGGGGAAGGGATATACAGGGCAAGGTTTGGGGAAGGGGCATGGCGCTTTCATGCCCTCACCCGACAGGCCAGTCACCCCACACTTCCATGTGTTCTCCCGCGGGAAGTTCCCCAAACCCAGTCCTTTTGGGTTTTTATGGGGCTTTATTAAATAGGCACAATTGATTAAATCAATGACCACTGGCGACTGATTCAACTTCCAGGCCCTCTCCCCTCCCTCAAGGTGGGGCAGTGTGTGTGACTGAAAGTTCCAACCAGCTAATCACGTGGTTGGCTTTCTCCTAGCAACCAGTCTTCATCCTTGGCTGAAGTCTAAAAGTCACATCATCACCGTAACAAAAGATACCTTCATTTCCTCACTAGTTAGGAAATTCCAATATTTTTAGGAGCTCTGTGCCAGAAATGGGATGAAGGCCAAATATTTTAATTATAAATCACAGTATCACTGGTATACCTAAGTTAAACTGTTCTCTTTTGAAGAAGGTGGAATACAGAAAAGATGAAGGATGCAGTAAAGCACTGTCACCTAAAAAGAAAGCACGAAGTGGGAGAGGTACCACTCAAAGGGAAGGCGAGGATGAAACATCTATGTCATAATTCCAGACCACTTTTACCCTAGTAAAAACTCACGGATACTTTTCCAACAGCTTCCCAATTCCTAAACCTGTAATATCAATTAAAGGGACACATTTGTTTCATAAAATATTTCCCTAAAGCTTCTGTCATCTACTACGGTGTCAACAGCCACTTACTCTCCTTAGGCATAAACATACTACCCAGCTTTGCCCCTCTTAAGAGGAAGAAAACCCAAGATACACCATGTCAGTATTCTCTCATTCAAAATCTCCTCTAGAAATCTTAATTCATATTTTTGATGATAAAACATTTAGAATTGAAAGAGATTTAAAACATTTCATATAAGAGCCACACCTTGCATAGCCGGGGTACCTGTCACTGCCCAGGTCCTGGGCACCAGCAGGAGCTCAGTGGTGTGGCAACAGGGGCCAGAACCAAGAGTGGAACACTGGGGCATCTAGGGCCCCAGAACTCTGGATAGTTTCCACAGCAGACTGATTTGCATTAAAGTGAAAGCAACATTCATGAGAGAGAGCTACAAAGAGAAAATTTCAACAGAAAAGTGTTTCTTCAGATTTTCAGCTTCTCCTCTCATTGTACTGTTTGGAGCTTTGGTACAGAGAATGCTAGAAGAGTTCATGATTATTTTCTGAAAGGTTAATTAAAACAATGCAAGGTAATTTTCCAAGTGTGTAAAATAATTCCCAACATTTGATATTATTATAATTTTACACACATTATAAACATATTATACTTATAAATGTAAATGGCATGAATGAACGAGAAATGTATTCCCAGTTTTCCCTCATACTGTCATGTACTTGAAATAAGTAAGTTATAGTAAATTTAGACATGTCTTCCTACCTGAAGATCTGAGGAGACAGAACTGTCTCGGTCGGAGTCTTTTTGCAAAACCGGAGGTGAGCATATCTCCCCGTCTGATGACATTCTGTATAAATTCTATAAAACAGTAAAAGCTAACTTTAGTTTATTTTTTTTGCAATATTTAAACTAAAATAAAATGCTTTATAAATATGAGTGTGTGTGTGTTTGTGTCTAATAACATCCTATCCTGGAAACAATAATCATTCAACATGTTAAAATCATTCAACATAATGAACACCCACAGACAAAAATCACTGGGTAAGAAAAAAATACTCAGCTCCCAAGTAGTGAGCTTATGATGTGGTCAAGGAGATAACACTGGAGTGGGTTGCCATTTCTTTCTCCAGTGCATGAGAGGGGAAAGTGAAAATGAAGTCGTTCAGTCGTGTCCAGCTCTTAGCGACCCATGGACTGTAGTCTACCAGGCTCCTCCGTCCATGGGATTTTCCAGGCAAGAGTATTAGAGTGGGTCACCAGTGCCTTCTCTGCATGCATATAGTAGTAATTACTTTTGAAAAAAGTGCTGTTAGATCCTAAAACAACAGAGGCACAAAGTAGAAAGGTTGGAGTAGCCTTTTTCATGGGGTAGGATGGGGAGGGTGTGAAGAAACGGGAACAGCCGATTGGGGTGTTGAGACCTGAAAGACAGATAAAAGATACAGGATATGAGAGGCAACAGTGCAGTGTAAGCAAAGACAAAGAGATGCAGACACATATGCCAGGAACTGCAAGAATTTCGTGAGGCTGGAGCAAAGGGCACAGATCAGGGTTTGGCTAAGGATGAAACAGGCAAAGTGAGGAGCTGCCAGATCATGGAAGATCACAATTACATCATGTTAAAAAAAGTTTCGTCTTTTTTCTAAAAGAAGTTATTAAAAGTCTTAATTAAACAAGTGATAACATGATCAGGCTTGTCTTTTAGAAAGATCACTCTGGCAGCTTTCAGGATGGATTTGAGAGGTGGGATATGAAAGAGAGAGCAATTGAGAGCCAACTGCAGTAGTCCAAGAGATATATGTTCCTTCTGGCAGTAATGGAGGAGATAAATGGGGTCAGAGGTATGACTGCAAGTTGCGCTGTGGCAGTGGAAATTTGAGACTGTGATCAACAATCGGTTAAGGGGTTAAAGGGAAGAACTGCTGCTCTGGTCCAGATTTCTGGCTGGCAATGATGGATGGTGGTGATACTCCCCAAGGCAAGGAATACAGGAAGGTAAGTAGACTGGGGGAAGGGTAATATGGTCTCATCATCAGACTTCCTGGGGTGAGGTGACTCTAAGGCACTGAAGTGAGGCTGCAAGTATGGAGTATCTGACCATGCCAGTTATTCGATGCACAAGTCCAAATACTGCCGTCCACAATGGCTATAAGGTGAAAGGTGCTTCTTGGGGTTAAGCAAAGTGGAAGCCCTGCACTGGAGGTAAAGGTTTGGGAATTCATTTTGAGGAATCAGCATAATGGGAACTGCTGATAAAAGGGAGAGGTTAAGATCACCTAGGAAAAGAAGTGTGAGTTCTTATTCTGAGGTCCCTAGACCCAAACCATGTGCAGTATTTTTAGCCCATGCATATTTTTCTAGGAAGAGGCTCCTCATCTTCCAATATGTGTCCAGAGGGTACTATAGCCTTAGTAAAGTTAAGGACCACTACTGTAGCTGGGCTGGGCTTCCCTTGTGGTTCACTTAGTAAAGAATCCACCTGAAATGCAGAAGACCTGGGTTCAATCCCTGGGTCAGGAAGATGCCTAGAGAAGGAAATGGCAACCCACTCCAGTATTCTTGTCTGGAAAATGCCATGGACAGAGGAGCCTGGCGGGCTCCATGGGGTCGCAAGAGTGGGACATGACTTAGTGATTACACCACCACCACTGTAACAAGAGGAGAGTTAAAATCAGAACTGCTAATATTTAAAGGGTAAGTGAAGAGGAACCAAAAACGATGGAAAAGGAAGTCAGAACAGTAGAACCCTGAGAACAGCATCACAGGAACCTCCAGGAGGGAGTGGTCAGGGACAGACGCCAAGGGAAGATGAGAATCTGACAGAATCCCTTGAGTTTGGCAATCAGAAGTTGCTGGGGCATTTGCCTGGACAATTTCAGTGGAAAGTAAAACAAGTCTTAATCAAGTAGGCTGAAAATTACCAGATGAAGAAATTGAAGGAGAAAGGGCAGATCCAGGTAGAAGTGCAGCATTAGAATGGAAACACAGACTGAGGCTACACTATGGAAAAGAAATGTTAACTGTATGCAGTGAGCATTACTGTGTAGACACAAGATAAGTAAACTAAATCTCAGCATGAGTGACTTTAGTTAAGCCAATTAGGGAGGATAAAATAAGCACATGCATCTGCAGAAGGAAGGCTGCTTTAAGGGACTCAAATCCACCACTGTGGTAACTTTGTCCTTTCTATTTCCATTCAATTCTTCCTTTAGGATGTGTTTGAAGATTGGTAATAAGGGGGGCTGGGATTGAGGGTACTGGTAATACGGGGGTTGGGATTGGGGGGCACATCTCAAAAAGAGTTTCTTAATATATATACCGCAGACACAAAACAAACACTGTACTTTTAGAAAATATGCTATAAATCTTCCATCTGCCCTGCTTTGATGACATCAAAGTCTGACAATTTATCTAAAACCCTACAACAGTAGCATTTTCCTTATTGTTTCTAGTTCTGAGACAAAGGAGAAAAATGAAACTTGCTTTGATGGAAAGCAGATGCACATCAGATAATCAAATTTTCAGAATTCTCTAAACCAAGATCTCAGAAATCACGACATAAAAAGTTCTGAGCGCTTGTCTATGGCCAAAGAAGTCAAATTAGATCTTGGTAATTACCTGGCTGAAGCAGGGTCCAGGAATTCAAATTACCCCCCAAGAGGCACTGGAAGAGTGAATTACCGTGCGAGCTGGCAGCTGAGTGACGTCCCCGAGCCCTTGACCTGTCCTACCTGCAGGCAAGGAGAGGGGGTGCGCCAGGCCCTCCCCACGCCACGGACTAGAGCAGAGGAAGAAGCAGCTGCGAGCAAGCACAGGGCTACAAGTTCTCTCACCTCCGCGTCACATCAAAATGTTACTTAAAAACAACAAAGGGTCACACACGGTCATTTTACCCCATACGTCTTAAATGGCCCGAACCTACAGCTGCAATACCGTTATTACACTTCAGGCAACTTTCCTTCCTGCCCTCTCTTCCCCGACGCCGAGGAGGGGAAACCTCTCGATCTAGCCGTCCCGCAGAGCAGCTCAAGGGCCCTACTTTCCCGAAGACGCCCCCAACCCTGTCGTGTCCGATTCCCAGGGGCTGCAAACCCGGCCGGGGCTATTTAAACCCCACTCCAGAACCTCCGCCAGGGGCGCCGCTTACCCACCGCCCAGGCGCTCTGCAAACCCCAACTCCACGACCCCCAGGGGCTGCAAACCCGGCCGGGGCTATTTAAACCCCACTCCAGAGCCTCCGCCAGGGGCGCCGCTTACCACCGCCCAGGCGCTCTGCAAACCCCAACTCCTCGCTCCGCGTCTTCTCCCCTCGTCGCCGCTGCAACAACAGCGAGTCCGGCAGCTTCCCCAGCAGCAACCTGACAGTTTCAAACTGGAAAGAGGAAGTAAAGACGGCCCCAGGCATTGGCCGCGAGCTTCAGCAACCTGCCGTCTGATTGGTCCGCGCGTCGGGGGCGGGGCCCCGCACCGGGGAAGGGCGCATCCGGAATGAAGTTGTTTCGGGAGAGCAGCAGCCTGGCTATGGCTGGTTCGGAGAGGGCGGAGTCTTAGGTAGCTCCGCCCCGCGTTCAGAAGCCCGGCGTCAGTGCGGGTCTGGCCTGCGGGGTACCTCCTGGGACCCGATTTTGTTAGACTGCCAAGCAGGACTGAAGTCAGCTAGGGCGGAATACTGGTGTCTTTTCGACAGTGCCCGTAGTCTATGTGTGTTGTCCTCAGGCATATGAATCTTCTCCTTCCTCGGGTGCCCCACGACAGAATACTACCCCCGCCACCTGCTGATTCCTTCGGTCTTGAGCAAGACTGAATTTTTCACAGAGACCAACAGTGATTATGATTGCAGGGGTCTGCGGACCACACTTTACGAAACTGCTAGTCTAGGTTATATTAATGACTTCAAACGTGTCAGATTGCAAGGCAAGCCCTTCTGGCGAAGCGAGTGCTGCCCTTAGAGTCATCGTTAAGTACATCCTGGTTGTATCACCTACTTACTGTCACCTTGGATAATGCTATCCACATATGGGGTTGTAGGGGGATTAAATGACTCACTATATTTAAAATACCTGTCACGCACACATAAAAAACTAGCCTTTCAGCTTGTATTGGCATAACAGCTAGAGGTACGTTAGGATCCACATGGCAAAGGGAATGTTCCAATCTGAAGGGCAAGTAATGAGATTCTGGTGAATTTTCAGGCTCCCTGCGGTACCTACAGGATGAGGTATCCGTTTCTTTTTCTGTAGATAGAAGTGGCATAACCTGGATCTCACCTACTCACCTGTGGGTAGAGCCAGAATTCTATTTATGCAAGCAATGAAATAAGAAGAGCACCAGCAGTTTCTTTGGCACAAATTATATTTGTCCCCCCGCCCCACCATCTTTTCCATGCTTATTTTAAAGGACAGATTCCTATTGATAGCTACAAATTCACAACTGGTTCAAAAATCTGTTTTTAAATGGAATTGCCATGCGGTGACCCCTTACAATGTAATTGTTTCTGATTCATTATCCCCGCGCCTTCCTGTATTTGGCTCCATGTTTCTCTTCTCTATCTCTTTGGGGGCAGATTTTCATAGAAAACTGTTAGGTAAGCTATCACCACTCTTCCATGAAGCTGAATTTAAAAGAGCGAACAAACCTCTCTCTCTGTTATTAATTTAGAACAGACTCTTTTCCAAGGTTCCTACAGGGGGAGCCAGAGAGAGGGGACTAGCACTCGCAGAAATCCATGAAA